GGCTTCTGGCACTATGGATAACAAGCAGTGATGCAAGTAATTCACTTGGGAGATGGAGGTCTTCAGGCTTCTGAGCAACGACTGTTTTTATTATTCAGACACTCTCAAGATGTGATGAGCTTTCTCAGAAGGAACTGTTCCAAGAGCATTTTTAGCACATGCTGAAATGTCATTGTGATATCTAATGTGCACTTTTTATTTTTCTTTCCTGTGTTTCTATCTGCATGTCATTCTTCCTCTCCCTGTCCTCTCACCCACTGCATGGTGCACCCGTTTGTTGTCTTTCCGCCTCCCTTTGATTTCCTCTGTGTCTTCCTTCCTTCTGCCCCACACCGTCACCCCACTGGCACTGCATGTCCTGCTGCCTGGCACACCGCATAACCAGGACCACTCCGGCACACTTGGCCCTGAGGAATTCAAAGCCTGTCTCATCAGCTTGGGTTACGATATTGGAAACGATGCACAGGTACTGAATGCTAGTGGTGAACACAGACAGATATTAAGCTATGAAAAAATAACGTTTTTTTTTCCCTTTCTTTTCTTGTTTGTCTTAATCTATTTGTCATCGTTGTTCTTGTGTTTGACTATATATGCGTCACTTTTCCGTTCTGCTTTATCTCTAAATGTACCTTGGTATCTGTTCCTTCTTAATTCTGTAATGGTTTGTCTTGTGGGAATTCCTTTTATGTCTTCAAACTATTCCATTTACTTCTGTGTCACTTAACACTCCTTCTCTTGTCCATCTCTCACTGTGTCTTACTTAAATCTTTTGCTTTTTTGTCATTGTTTTCCATGTGTGCTAACTATTCTGTGTCCAAAACAACTTTCACATCATGGTTTCACAAACTGCCTTTGCTACATTGTTTTTCATTGTCCTGTAAATACTTTTTTCCATCTCCTCCTCCCTAAAACTCATTCTTTGTAATGTCTCATGTGGGTTCATTTCTCTCTGGATTGGTCTTCCTTTTCTCTCTCGGCTTTTCCCATCTTTGCATCACTCTCTGTAGAAGAAGACTGGTATGATGGATTGTGAAGATTTCCGAGCCTGCCTTATCTCCATGGGTTACAATATGGTAATGTAGAGCCCTCTATCACTTCTGTTCAAAGTGATTCTTTTAGCCACCTTCAGAAAGAAAGGGAGAATGTGTAGTGAGTGAATCAAGGTAAATATGATCTTATTTTCCAGCAATTGAAGTTCAATCCAGTACATGTAAAATTGTCTTGCAGCAGTAGCTGAAGATTAAAAAATGATATCATTGTCTTAATTCTTTGTATTTCAAATGAGAATTATATTTATCAAACTGTGCAGCTACAAGTGGAAGAAACTTTCTTATGTTGGTACATATGCTCTACATAGTGGCACATAAGTTCCCCAGACCTAAGCATCAATTGAACTCTTCTGGAAGCCTGACTTCTGAATGCAGTCAAAGTTGCTTCTCTCATTCCTACCACTTATTTCACATGTCTTTGTTTGCGTAAGTAGGTTCAAGTCCCATTCATCCTCCCTGTAATTTTTCCCTCACCAAAGCACTTGCACATCCATGTGGCACCTTGAGAAGCACGATAACTAATGCAGAGTTTCACCAAAGACTGATATTCATCAGAGGGCAGGAGAAGACCACAGTGCAAAAATGTTGAGCTCTACTCTCAGTATCTTTTTTCTGATGTCAGGCAAAGCAGTGTTTGTCTTATCAACCCAGTGTAAACATAGACACTTTTTGATGCAGTGTGCCAATCTGCAGTAACATTTGATGAGATACTTCAATTAATCTGGACGGTATACTGATCTAGAGGTATTAGAATAGTATGTACCCAGGAGAATACTCAGCCCTGCTTCCCTCTCATCGTTACTTGGGGAGAAAGGAATCCCCACAGATGAGAATAGATAATATTTTGTTTACATAAAAAAGGTAAAAAAATAAAAACCTACAGAAAACCAGAAATCTCACATCACGGTTTTTTCTTCTGTAGTAAACTTATCTGTAGAACCTTTCCTGTAAAAGCTACTTTCCTGTAAAAGCTACTTCCCTGAGCCTTTCCAGATATAGAAGACCTTTTCTGCAAAGCCTGTCTAGTTAGAATAACCAGAAAACATTCAAAACCCCAGAGATGTTTCTGCTGGTGGATTCTGTTCTAGTAGCAGAAGAGAACCATGAAAGTTTAGGAAATAAAAGGATGCAATGAATACAGATCTTCCAGTATTGCTACAGACATCTAGCACAGCATCTACTACAGAGAAAGCTGCATCTTCTCAAGTCTATATGATATTGTTCCTAGTAGAAGCTTTATCCTAGAGCTAGTTGGAATTAGATGGTATTTTAGGGCACAGCTGAGAATATTTTATTCCAAAGGACAAATGAGTGGGAGTTGTGTAGGGGGCACACAAGAGCCAGATTTAAAAAAAAAGTACTCTAATGCGAGGTTGAAGTTGTTTCTGTTTGACTTTGCTTTCCCAGCTGTGAGATGTGCTGCTGAACAGTTTCTCCTCACTTTCCTGGCACTGCTGCCCAAGTGTCCAGGCTTACATGACTCTCTTGTTCTCCAGGGAGAGGCAGAGTTTGCCCGCATCATGAGCATCGTCGACCCTAATCGCATGGGTGTAGTGACGTTCCAGGCCTTCATCGACTTCATGTCTCGGGAAACAGCAGATACAGATACTGCTGACCAGGTTATGGCTTCTTTCAAGATCCTGGCTGGAGATAAGGTGAGGCTCTGTGGTCTTCCTTCCAATCTGTATCGTTCCTGCCTTCCTTTTTCCCTTCTGTCTGCAAGAGGAAGTGTCGAGGGAAGCACTCTGTAGCAAGGAAGGCATTTTCACAGGAACACTGCAGTGCTGGAGGAGTGCAAGGCTAAAGTGTGGGTTAATGAGCAGCCTGCCAAGGCACTTGAAAGCCCTGTTCAGCTGTCAGCAGATCAGCAGAACTATGCTGCTCACTCTTGCATTAAAAAATTTATTAAGAGCTCAGTTTCAATTTGTTACTTTAAAATGTATGAATAGATTAAACAGATGGCTCTTGATTAATCTTCTTGAAAAACTATTAATTACTGACAGCTATAAACTTGAGACAATCTTTGTAGATATATCTGTGGCACTACAGTCATTATACAGTCAATCACAGAATGCTACACATGATCCTAGCCAAAAGGCTGAGAGGTGAGACTAGGCTGTCATTAAAGATATGCTGTATCTGCAAGCTGTACAATTTTAGAAGGGCATACTGCAATAATAAATTGGTTGAAAATAAGAAAAATCACGGGATGGTGGTGACATATTACTCTTCTAAATTTGAAACATCAGTGGAACCAGATGATACAAAAGAATTATGTATTCTTAATTTTCTTACATAAAAATCCCCACTGGTCTTCAATGTAATTGAAAAAAATAAGTGGTATCTCTAATATAATGATTCTCTGTGTTTTCTGATGATTTTATTCATTTCACATGAAACATGGGATTCTGTTTCTCAGGCTACAGTAAGTTATTCTTTCAGCCAGTACTGGTTTCTTGCTTCACCAATCATCTTTTCATAACCTGTAACATGGAAACACCAATCATCTTTTCATAACCTGTAACATGGAAACCCATAGTGTCCATCTTTCTCTAAGGCACAGTACCTGAGCAAAGCCAGTTCTATTGTCTTTCAAGGCCTGAAAATTCCACTTTATTGTGGTGGGCTAAACACTAAGAAAGGAAGCTTTTGGGGATATAGTGTTATTTACTAACTCATTTATTCTTTACAGTACATTAAATATAATTTTTGGTGTTTAATATGCTGCAGTGACTATAACATGAATCAGACAGTATTTCATTATGAAGAAAAATCTCCTACTCATTCCAATCACATAATTAAAGGCATGAAAAAAGGAATAGAAAGGAAAAGGAGAGAGAGAGAGACTCTGAAACCTGAGGTGTTACTCAGAAAACTGCGAGTGAGTCAGCTAAACACAACCTACTGGTTAGCAAACAGGCAGTTACTGTTACTAGCTGCATGAAAAGACCCCAAGCTAGTCTCACTTCAGCTGAATGAATCTCCAGAAGGCAAATTTATCTAAGACATTTTGCTTGCTTATTAAAAATGTCCGCCATAAAAGAGAAGAATTATTAGCAGAGCTGTGAAAGCTTCCAAAAGTGTTCACTTGTCTGCTGCCTGCAGTGGTGCCACCAGCCAGTGCTAGTGGGGCTGGCTCCTTTTCATGCTCTGAGGAGAGGAAATGGCAGCTCCCAAGCAGCACAAACTGCTGCCAGCCAGGGGCAAGATCCAAATGAAGTTTCTGCTTCTTCCTGTTTGCCTTAAGCTGGACCTCCACTTTCACTGAGAAGGTACCACAATTTATCTGAACTCCCACCAGGCCTTTTCTTTAGGTGTGCCAGCATGTCTCCTGCAGAAACAGTCTTCCTCTCCTCTGTAAAAGCATGTTCTTGGCCAAGCAGTAAGGAGAGCAACTACATTTCCCTGACAGGTGCATGCCTGGCAAGCTCTGTTTATGGGCACACAGCAAAAGTCTCGTTATTGTGGTCAGCCCCTGACTGCCGTCTGCTGCCCTGTGGATGCAGGCAGTGGGGTCCCTCTGAGGGATGTTGGTGCTTTGAAGATAACGTCTGCCTTATCCTGTGTCTTCGTTGCAGAACTACATCACTGTGGATGAGTTACGGCGGGAACTGCCTCCTGATCAGGCTGAGTACTGCATTGCTAGAATGGCACCCTACAATGGCCGTGATGCTGTACCCGGTGCCCTGGACTACATGTCTTTCTCCACGGCGCTCTATGGCGAAAGTGACCTTTAACTTTTTTCTGTCCCACCACACAACCCTCCCCTCTCCCCGTCCAACACACCCCTCTTTCTCTTTGCAAAGCAGCCTCTGCTCCGCTCTTTTTTGTGTTTCCCTGTTTTGCTTCAGATAACAGATCATGTTTTTAAATGGGGGGGAGGACATTGACATGACACCGCCTACCTTGCCCTTGAAATGACAGTTTACAAAATTATTTTGTGCAAAAAAGTTACGTTTTAAAAAGAACAGACATATTTTATTATAGAAAAGGGTATTTTTCTCCACCAGATTGAAACTTAAAAAGAAAATGTTCAAATATTGCACCAAATATTTTTTGTTGTGACATAGAAAGTCGAGCACAATGTTACATTCCATCCTTTCCAAAAAGAACCAACCAACAACAAAACGCCACTTGTTCTGTTAACTTCTACATTTGCGTATGTCTCTTTATCACGTTTATCTTTGGAGGGGGGAAGGCACACAAGTGCATGTGTTTGCTGGTTCACTCATTTCATGAAAATATTTTATGATAAACTTTTGAAATTGCTGTGTTTTCTAGGGAAAAAATAATGTACACAGCTCATGTTTTCATATTTAATTAAAAAATACAATATGCCTCCTATGTTTATCAGTGCACAACATTTTTTGTTGCTGAGAGTTGTCTGGTTTCAGATGAAGCTTGAGAGTTGATAACTTTGATATTGCTTGTCACAAACCATATTAAAAATTTCTTGTGATAACAGATCTAGGCTTTATTCATTTGTATAGTGAATGTTTAGTTCTCTTTAGTTGAAACCACATACACGAAGAGAATCCGAAATGCTTTTCAGTTGAAATTACAATCCTTTGAATGTCAGCTTCCCACCTCCTTAAACTTTTCATTTCTGTTGAATTAAATTGGACATTACACAGCTTTCTGGCCACTTTAAACTAGATGGATTGTTTTTAATCATCCCTGACACAGATCTCCAGGACAATATCCTCGTTATTCCTTTAAAAACAGCACAGAATTAATTACAGAGCTATGCAAACAATCACCGCATTTTGAACCATCTAATGAAGGATTCCTCCACTATTCCATGCTCAGCATTGGATAGCTCACTGCTTTTGATATTGTATCTTCTGACATCATAAATTCCTCCACCACTCATGAACACCTTTGTAGTCAACATTCAAAAGAAACCAGCCTTCAGAACAACTCTTTGGGGACCTTTCATGAATCAAAATATATGCAAATGCACGTGCCTGGGAATTAGCAAGGGGAAGGGGCTAATCCCTGTTGTCTCAGATTACAAATACATTTCTTGCCCTCCCACAACTTTTTTAGGAGTCGTGGATTTTAAGGATAAAAATCTTCATTAGCGCTTCATGATGCATTTCAAGTAAGCTTTTTAGGTATAACGTAAATTTATATAACCTAGCATACTTTAAAAAAAAAAAACAACGGAAAGTAATATCAAGAAGTGAGGCAAATAACCATTGGAGTGACCACTATATAGAGAAAAGACCCGTGTTATCTTAAAACAGAGTGTGCTGTGGGTGTCCAGCTCCCCTGGTGTGCTCTCAATGTGAGTGGAGCCGGGTGTGTCCTGAGCAATCCAAGTGGCAGTTCTCTGCCAGTCTGTGCTTAGAGATCTCAAAAGTCTTGACAAAAAGCTAAATGAGCTGTGTTTGTGTTTTTACTCTTCAATAGGATTCACACAAAACCCCAACTGGGCATAAGCATTTCTGTTTTTTTGAGACCGAAAGCAAATGTGTGGCTCTGCCCTGCTGGCAGCACAAACTGTGGCAGCATGGGGCCTATGGCAATCCTGGCTTTGCTGTGCTAGTACCACAGAACTGCGTCCTCAGCTTAAGCTATGGTGTTTCTGAGAATCTGAATACTGCTCAAAATATTGACAAGAGGTGTACTGATAATTCTAGGCACATGGACTGGTATTCCTTCTCCACAGCCTCTGCGATGGCTAGAGCTGACGTCACCCAGTCTTTGACACCCAGGGGGCAGACAAAGCCCCCCCATCCCCATGATACACGCAGAGGAGCTCTGTGATGCTGCAGCACATTGGCCTTCTTCACCTGTGGCACAAAATGCATCTTGCACTCATGTGGCCTAACCTCTCTGGCAGTTGCTATGCTGAAATTTGAATACAGCTTCTTGTGTTAGGATCATGGTTTTGAAGCTAATGTGCCGCTCTTCAGCCAAATCCTGACATCAGCCTCCATTAAATTCCTCTCTGGAAGCAGCTGTCAGCAGCTCAGTGACTGCCCCCACTCCTGCCAAGAACAGAAGCAACACAGAGCGTGTCTCAAGTTCACATCTCCCATTCAGAGATGAACTGATTGTTTTCATCAGTCTGTCGGATTCCCCATGTTCAGGCACGGCCTTGGAATAATGTTTTTTCCCAGAAATTAACCATTGTCATTTCATAGCTGTTGACATCTTCAGCTCTGGAGACCTCGGTACCTGCCCCTGCATGTGACTGCATGATGGCCCAAGGACAAAAGCACATCAGTGCTCAGAAAACAAGGAGCTGTCCTGCCTGCAGAATGTCAGCCACATTTCTAAAAGTCTCTCAAATACGTACTGTGACTGCTGCTTGTCTTCAGTGCTGCCAGATCTGGTTTTGGAACAGAAGAGCAGAGCCAAGATGCTCAGAAGACAATGAAAGGAAACTGGTCTGCAACCTTGAATGAACTTAGTTTCTAAGAAGCATTCATACATCCACAGAGGATTGGTCCAGATGAATCAGACTGGCTGGTTTTATCAGTGAACTAACAGGGATAGCAAGGAGTAATAAGAAGAAGGCTGTTAATGGCTGTGAAAACAAACAGTATGCATTAAAATGACTTTTCAGAAACCAGAATGCAGGTACAATTTTCAGACCATAACATTATTTGTACTAAATTATTTACATAACAGATGTTCGGTAGAACAGATACTAAGAGTGCTTCATCCCAATTAATTAATCAAATTGCCTGGTTAACTGAGTACCAGAAGAGTCACTACCATGTAAGACCTTAAAATCCTGAAAAGCCATAAGCTTCTGGGAAAGTCTTAGTCTTAATAAACCTGGATTAGCAAAGGATAGGGCATACCCTAAGACAAACAGGTAACCAGAGCATTCCCCAGCATGCACTGAGGAGATGTGTTTGATGAGCAGTCAGTAGAGAAGACAGCCACTGCAAGGGGCAGAGCTGACTGGCAGGCTCTGTTCTGGAAATGATGTCTGTGAGGCTATTTCAGGTGGACAAATCTATCAGCTTAAGTCTACTGAAAGGGAAGGAATAAAATTAATCTTTGCTACATTCTGTGGACTTAGAGACAATATAGGCTACGCACCTCACCAACAAAATATTTGATTCTTCTTTTATCTGGACACCATACAACAGTCAGGAAGTAATTCCTTGGTTTTGTGCTCTGACTTATGCTTTGATTACTGGGGTATACACGCATGAAAATATGTTGGTACAAAATGCAATCATTTCTTATCTCTTCTTAGCAAGTTTGTTCACACCTTGCCACTTGTCAGTAGTTCACAGCCTAGCAACCATCGTGTTAGGTGTCACTTGAGCAAAATAGCCAGAATGTTCACAAGCCATAGCAAAACCTCTTGACAGAAACAGATATCAGCATGTTTCTCTCAGACAGCCCCAAGCTGGGATCCCAAAGAAACAAAGCTCTGGTTTCACAGCTGCAGGTGGGCGTCTCTGTGCTATAACACAGAGTCCTACATCTCTCACTACTGCTTCCTGGCAGCTCAGCATGTGGGTATTTTTGGTCACTAAGTGACCCACACCTGCCCCTATGTCCCGTGCAGGGACCTGACTCCAGGCCTTGGGCTCCATCTTAGACTCTGGGTTGCTGCACTTCTGAGGTGGGTGCTGTGGTGAGCACAGCTCAGTTGTTAAGTGTCTCCAGCCAGAAGCCATTTGCCTGTGGTCCTCAGGGAAGTCCACAGAGAACTGAACCCAGCTCTGTTACATTCCACTCAAAGTGCCACGGGCATCTCTGAAGGATCCCACGCCTTTTTCCCAAACCATTCCACCTAGTTCCCCAGTTTCTGTTGCTACTTTCTGTGTGTACCCTGTGACTTTGGCTGTACATGTTTGCCTAAAACCAGGGACAAATTTTAAACTGCAGGGTTAAGAACACATTTTATGCCTTCTTTATTATTAGGCACACTCAACACTGCCACCATCACTTTAATGAAAGTGATGTAATTTCAGTATTCAGTATTGAAATTTCAGTAATGAAAGTGACTCTCCTACTGCTTCTTAGTTGAATAAGACATAGTCTTTCATCGGTGGCACCAAACCACACCATCCTGCATTCTGCCTCAGATAAAATAAAATGTCTTCTTCAAGGAAAAAAGAAAGCAATGCACGTACCCTCATAATGAGCAGATTATGTTGTTTAAGCATGCTGAATCCAGCTGAGTGTTTGTTTGCATTTGTAGGCGTGCAGTCAGGATGCTATTTGTTCCCAGTGGGCTTTCCTATGAGCTGCTCAAAATAACTAGGGAACTAAGATGCAGCTCTATCGCGAGAGTAGATTTTGCACATGATAACATCCAGAAACACTACCCACTTGCTAGAGGCAACACTGCAGGTTCTTCAAATGCTGTACGTCATGCCTTTTGCTGCCATGCAGTGTCCACATCCAAGAAAGGGAAATCGGGACTGCAGTCTGGCCCAGGCACTGCTGGTGCACTCAGAGCTCTGTTCCAGACACACCACCGCATTCTTCCCCACTGACATGATCCAGAGTGCAGAGATGATTTGCAGGATTAAACCAAAATGCTTTAATTGGGCTTCCATGACTTATCTTCATTATTGCCAGTAACTCCAATCCTTATTGCTCTCATACCATTCCAAGACTGCCACCTAAGGAGCTTTTTTTCTGCTTCTGAACTCCTTACACAGCAATTCAAGCATAAAGACACGCTGAGACTGGTGGTACTCCTGCAATATTCCAGCTCTGCTATCTGCACAGAATATCTGCACAGAGAGTCACACAGCTGTGCCATTTTGGGTGTCCTGGGCAATGTTAAGAAATAAATTAAACCACCTTACAACTGTATGGTGTTTTCTGAGTTGTAAGACATATTTCCCCAGCTACGACCGCCTACTTTTTTAACCGCAGACAGCTTTGCTGAACTGCTAGATCACACCTTTTTCTTACCAAAGGCGTTCACCTTGCAGCAAAGGCCAGCAGCACCCTGGGCAGTGTTAGGCACACGACAACACCGGGTTTTTTGTTCTAGGGGCAGGCAAACACCGGCACAGGCTGCCGGCTCTCCTCCCGGGACATCTCCAGCAGCCGCCGAAGCTGAAGTCCAGGCCTAACGCAATCAAAGGGGCAGACAGACACACCGCGCGGCGTCCGGATGGCGAGAATTTAACGAGCTGCGCTGCAACGAAGGACACAGCAGCGCTCACCTCGCTCCTTGCATCGTGACTTGTCACGAACCGCACCGCCGGAACGCCACGATCGGGCCCGTTCTCGGGCACCAACAGACCCGCCCGGCCCCGCAGCCGCCCCTCTCCCCGCGCGGCCCCCTCGCGGCGCGGCTCGGCGCAGCGACACCGCCGCCATCCGCACGGCAGCTCGCGGCCCCGGCAGGCAGCGCGGCACAGCAGGGGGCCGGGGCGCGGCCCGCCGCGCGGCACTCTGGGACTTGGAGTCGGACGTCGGCGGTTGCGCAGCATCCGTTGGGGGCGCGCGGCGTTGCTGGTCTCTCGTAGGAACGAGGCAGCCATTGCCGCCGCGGCCGGGAAGAGCGCTCTCTCTCCTCACGGCCCGCAGGACTCAGCGCCCGGCGACGGTGAGCGGCGCCGCTCCCGCCCAGCGGAGGGAGGCGCGGGGCGGAGGGCCGGGCGGAGGGTTGCGAGCGGGCTCTTCGAGGCCGGGCCGCGCCGTGCGGCCTCCGCGGGGCGGGGATGGGCCCGGCCTTTCTCGCG